GGGGGGGGGTGGGAATGATGGATGAATGATGGACGGCGGATGTGTAAATGGGTGATGGACAGATACACAGATATGATAAATGGTAAAAAGATGCTGGATGGAAAGTTAGATGGGTGAGGGTGGAGCGGATAACAGGTGTCGGATAGATAATGTTTGCTTGGCTGATAGATGGGGCGACGGATGGGTTGATGGATGAACATGAGCGGAACATGAACGGATAGTTGGGTGGTGTGTGGAGAGGTAAACGTGGAATACAGATGATGGGTGGCGAATGGATGTTGTGTGGGTTGAGAAAGGATACTTGGCTGCAGGATGGATGGGTAGACCATGGATACATAGAGGCTGGATGTATGAGTGGGATAATGGATGCTGGGTGGGTTAGTGAGTGGAGAACGTAAGGCAGACGTTGGGCCGTTGGATGGACAATACATGGGTCTATTGATGTTGGATGCTAGGTAGATGTTGGATGGATGGGTAAGAAGGTGGATATGTGAACGGAACCTGGCGAATAACCTGGGCTAAGCTTTGTTCCTTCTTACCTCCAGTTCCAATCAGAGGAGCCTGAGGAATCAGAACCAAGCAAAGGCCGAGACTCACTGACCGACCAGAAGCAGGCAGATTCGGTAGTTGGGTCATGGGTGTGGGCGCACAGGGAGGTGAAGGGGAGGGGAAATCAGGTTGGAGGCGGGCTGAGGTCCTCTGATACGCTCTAGGGTCGTCCAGACCGGGGTTGGCTCTGCCATGGGGGTCATCTGTGTGCATGGTAGGGCCTTGAGAGAGGGGCTCCGGGGGGGCTGGGCCGCAGAGCCACCTTTTGGCTTGGGGACCGGGGCAGGTAAATGATCCGGGGGTCAGAAGCCTGGGGCTCTGCTTTTGACTTGCTAGGACGCCCTGAAAAGTCGCTCCCGTTTTTCTGGGTAAATGGCAGTTTGAGCCTGATGGTCTCTGAAGGTAAGGTCTTTCTGGTTCCGGAGGGCTGGGCAGGCCGGGAGAAAGCGTAGGGATTCCAGGAGCTGGAGCCAGAGAACCGCTGAAGAGGGCCGAGGAGGTGCGGCAGTCAGCTGAGCCTGGACGGTCTCCAGGATCCCCGGGGCGGGAGGGATGTGTGCAGGGGGTGGGACCCAGCGAGGCTGCTGGAAGGCCGGGCAGCAGCTGGAGCACAGCGCTGTGCCCCCCCCCCTCCCCTCCCCACAACCTGCCAAACAGACTGTTCTCATCACCCTCAGCCTCCAGAGAGGTGAGGTCAGAGCTGACAGCCTGGGGCAGGAGGCAGGGAGGAGACGGGCCGCTTGGGGCTATGCTTTCCTCATCCTGCTCTGGTTCCGCTGTTTCCGGGTGCTGCCTCCAGAAAAGAGAGTGAGAGGGGGGCATCTGCCTGGCAGCCTGGAACCCCCATTCTGGCCCTGCCGCTAATCAGAGCTGGGGCGATTCTGCCCAGGCCCTCATTGCAGAGGAGGAAACGAGGGGCAGGACCGCCACCCCAGGTCACACCAGCCAGGCAGCGGCTGACCTCAAATTAGAACCTGGGGCTCAGGACCCCCATCCCGCAGTCCCGGTGCTGCCTGGATGTGGCTTCCTGGCTCTGTCCTGACCCACCGCGTGGCCTCCTGAGGCAGCGGCAGGACTCTAATTGCTTGGTGGCCAGTCTCCCCGTCGGTGAAAGGGGAGGAGACAGAGGACTGGTCACTAAAGGCGCTTCCAACTCTCACAGGGGCTCTGGCAACTTTGCTTCTTCCTCTTTCTGGGTCATTTCTTCATACTTCCTGGGGCCAGAGCTTCGTGAACGAACCGGAAATAGCAATATAGGGGTCCCCCTCTAGTCTCCACGAAACGGGCCCATCCCACCAACGTGGAAACCTCTCAGTGCATCCCCAGGCGGCCTGGATTGGTCAGAGCTGGTAACTGCCTCGTTCGTTTGCTCGCTCGTTCGTTCATCGATTCATTCATTCATTTATTCACGTACACTTAGTGAGCGCTTTCTGCTGGCCTGGGTGTGGGCCAGGAGTAAATTGGAGCGCGTGGAGCTCCTGGTCTAGTGGCCGGGGCCCTGCTGGGGGAATGCGGTGGCAAGGTGGGGAGCGGACTCCTTCCCCCCAAGCCCTTACACCCCACCGACAGATAAGCTCTGGACCCCAAAGAGTGGGGACCCCTGGGCTCTGGCCTACCTCTCTGCCAGTAAGCTGCTATGGGACTTTGGGTAAATGCTGCTGCTTTCTTGGGGCCTGTTTCCCCAACAAGGATGACTGCAAAGGGGGTGCATTTGGGGACCTTGCCGGGAGTGGCTGCAGAAGTCTGTCATTCCTTCCTTTCATAAAATGGGGAGAGTAGGCGGACGCGGGATAGAGATCAGGGGCACTTGTGTGACCTCTTGGTGCCACACGGGTTGACGCCGTGGGGATGGGCCCAGAGGTCTTCTACCTTGAGAAACTGGAAATATGTAGTTATACGTCAGTCTCTCGATGATTTAACATTGGAACCTAATGCAAAACGATCTGAAAACCCTACGCAGGCTGAACACACATCTGGGGCGCGTCCTCCCCGCCTTCCTACTGGCCACCTGTGGTTTGGCTTTAGGGGGTGAAGTGCACGCCCCCAAAGGTGCTGAGCCCCAAGAGCCCTATCAGCCAAACACCCCGTAGTGTGAATGAGTTAGCAAGTTCCTTTCTTGGCAACTCTGTGAGATAAGAAAGATGAGAGCCCTGGGCCTTCCAGGTAGGCATGGCAGAATAGGCAGGGGAGACTGTAGTCAGAGACCCCCCCCCATCCCACCAAAGGGACCTGGGGGCCAACACTGGACCCTGTTTGACAGGCAGACAAGAGGCCAGCGGAGGGCAAGGCTGGGAGCCCACTCAAGGGCCGACTGGTGACCTCATGGCGGATGCCCGGGGACGTTCCCACGCTGTTCAATCCGTTCCTGCTGTCTCTGGGGGTCCTCAGGTGGCAAAGGGTAGGCTGGCTCCAGCGGGGTGGGAGGGATGAGGGTGGGAGAGAGGGGGACGGGAGGAAGGAGGTTGGCGTTAGTCAAAGGAGGGAAAGTGGGGGCTGAGAGGAGGGAATTGGGGCTCCCACACGAGAAAGGAGAATCCCACCTCCAGGACGGGGCTGGGGCTGTTTTCCGTTTTCAGGGTGAGGGGGGGTTGAATAATCTATACAGCTGAAAGCGGCCAAGCAGCAACTGAGCCAAGGGGAGTCAGGTTGGGGGGAGGGAGGGAGGGATGGCCTGAGGGGGGGCTCTGGGATTGCAAAGTGTGTCTCAGACCTGGGTCTCAGCCAGTTTCACAAACATCTGGCATTACGTAACCTACCCCCTGCCCAGAGAGGGCTGTAAACACTCAGGCCTCTGGTTCAGGGTTTCCTCAGGGGCAGGGAGGGCAGGCAGCTGTGACTTGCTTCCTCCTGCCCCCTTCGCAGCAGAGAGAAGGGGCCTGGTCTCTCCAGGGGCCACTGGCAGGCGCGTGGGGTCTCTTCTCTTGTCGACAGGATGACTCCTGTACCCTCTCGTTGGCTCTGGGTCCAGCCCGAGGCTGGGCACGTTAGAGACAGTATACCCACTTTGCAGATGAAGGGACCGAGGCTCAGGGAGGTGAGCTGGAGTTGCACGGCTCGGGTTGAGGGGAGTCGGCCTCCTGCTGATTTTCCTCATTCTTAGATGAGAGACTGGCTGCAGCTAACCCACCCCACGCCTCAGTTGCCACATCTGTTTAATGGGGCAGGATCTATAGCGATGCTCAGGGCTGCAGAGAGGGCTCAGGGAGATCAGGAGGCACAGAGGTGTGACGGTTGGGGGCGTCCACACACTAACTTTTCCCAGCCGCTTCCTAACTTCCGCTCTGCTGCTCTTTGGGGGTTAGGGCCCTCGGGTGATGGGACAAACACGGTTATCTGGGCAGAGTGGTACCTTCGAGCCATGGGCGGGAATTACCTTGTCACACTAACTAAAGGTCACCAACATGCAGCCGGTCTGGCAGGAGGGAGCAGGTAAGTCCCTGGTGGAGAGAAGGGGAGAGAAACGGGGAAAGGCACCTGGGACAATGGTGCTGGTGATGATAACCAGCATGTATTTGGCACCTAGTTTGTGCTCAGCTCGGTGTTCGGTGCATGGCCTGCCTGATTGCGTTTAATCCTCACCCCTGGGCATACGAAGTATGGTCCGTGTTGTCCGTCTTACAGAAGGAAATGAAGGGCACTGAGGAAAAACACGACTTGTTCTAGGTCACACAAGGGGCAGAGCTGAGATGTGAACCCTCCCATCTCTGGGCATCCTGATCTCCAAGCCCTCCTTGCAGCCCTGAGAATCCCCACAGATTTTTTTTCCCCGTTAGACAGATGCGGTAACTGAGGCTGAGTGGGTGTGCAGCCGTTTTCTCATCTGGGAATGAGGCAAATCAAGAGCTATGGGACGGAACTGCCAGCGGAGTCTCCCAGACGGTTACTTAGAGCAGCTTCAAACATCTCTTGGGTCGGAGGGTGACATCGCTCTCCAAGGTCAAAGGCCAGGAAACCTGGGCTTGAGTTCTGTCTCTAAGTTGTACGGCTTTGGGACGTTGTGGCCCTCTCTGAGCCTCATGCTGCTATCCTCAGTAGAGTCAAGTTTAACAACGGTTGGATGGATGGATAACCCCCAAGTTTGGTGGCTCTGTTTAATAACTCACTCCTGGGTCCCTGAGTCAGTCCCATCTCTGTCCCACTAGGACAAGATGTGGCAAGGGAGTCGTTTCTCCATTTGTGCATTCGCTCATTTGACCTATGTTTACTGAGGACCTACTGTGGACTCCGAGATCTAGGCAAAAACACTCTGTGCCCACAAGAAGCTCAGTTTGGTGAGGACACTGACATGTAACTGGTTAGAACACAGTGTGGTCATCATTTTAGTGGCGGAATGTCCAGATGCAGGGAGCAGCGGACAAGGAGTTTCTACCTCTGGGCTGGGGACACCCTGGCTTCCTTTGGATTGAGACCTGGAGGGTGAGAAGGAATTTTCCGGGCAAACGAACATTTGGAGAGAGGGGAAGGAGGGG